CTCAGCCCCCACTTGAGGATGTAGCTGCACATGGGACCCTTAGGCTGGGTCCCGGTGATTCCACCGAGTGTCCCAGGAGGTATCTGGAAGGCGTGTTTTAGGAGCAGTCCTACCACTTGCGCGCCCGCTTTTATTTCTCGAAGCGTGTGTTCTCTGGAGCCCGTTCATTGCTTGCAATCCGAATTGCGAAATATGAGGAGGCACGATGTATGTGTTTAATGCTTCCCATGTATTTTGCTGTTTGTGCTTTTGCTGTTCGACGAATTCTGGTACAATGACAACGTTATTCGTTTGAATTTAGAGCCTAAATTTAGAGTCAAGTAATACACGTTTTGTGGTTTATGCTTCCTTTTATGAATATTTTAAAAAATAGTTTTGCTAACGAGGTATTGTGGCATTGGTTTCTGTAGCTCACACGTGTAAATCCGAAAACGCACTGGATGATGAAAGTAAGCTGTATTAAATAAAAATATTAATCCTTTTACAAATGTAAAATAAGTGAATTTTAACTTAATTGCTGTGTATAAAGTTACAGAGTTTACTTCTTGGATTTCATGATTGTGCCTTTCTTCAGGCACAGTCGTGTTCAGCAGAAGTGTTCTCAGCCATGGAACATACTGAATTTTTCAGAGAACACTTTAAAATAATTTATTGTCTAATAATGAAATACAGGACAGCAGCCCTTAAAGATCTGCTAGTAAGACAGATTTTTTCAGTCTGTGAATCTAGAGTTGAAAGTTCCCTTCATTTTTGTCAGGATGGAGGAGATGACAAATAGTTTTAGCCACTCCTCTTTTGTTGCTAAAGATTCAAATGTGTAAGGTGATAGCCTCAGAATAAAAACTTTTGCAGTTGTGGGCACTTTAAAATATAGGTCACTTTGTTATTTGAGGCAGTCAGTCAATCCAGAGGGCTCTTGGTTGTCCAGCCTATGAACTGCCTCTCCTGGTTTAAGATCATTCGTTTTCCTCTTGTCTGGAGTCTTCATTTGTATTGTGCAGTTAAACGTCATGAGTTTGGAAGCCCTAATTAAACATGTATGACTGCATTATTCCTGAGTAAAATGCTCTTGTAGTTCTGCAGAATTTCAGGTCTTATTTGTTAGTAGAATTCATTATAAATATCTTCTTTAAACCAGAGCTTAATAACTTCCTGGATCCAATATTTAATATTCCTTTTGTTTTTCAGTAGTATATCTGAAGTCTACTTCGCTGTTAGAATTCATTCACTTTTAATTGTCTCTACCCATTTATACAGAATTTTATTATATGGGCTTTATTTGCATTTAATAAAACTATTTTTAATTACCCTTTATTTTATGATTTTCTACTTCTCTACTTCCCCATAATTATTAATTGAATGTTTGCTCTAACCTATATATTTTTAGATCTTTTACTAGGACAAATCCTTCCTGAAGTTAGGTAGGGCTAAGTATATAGCAACCGAAAGTTATACACATTTTTATATTTTGCATACCAGGATTAAAATTACAAGTTACATAATTCACTGAATTATCACTTCTCTTTTTATAATAACTCATTATTGGGTGCTTATTGATATAAGACAAAAATATTAGGCACTTTATGTAATTCAGTTGAAATTATAGAATTTTGCTATGAAGATTTTAAATTCTGAACTGTAGACATGGGCATACTTGATATTAACTTGTCTTACTATATAGAAGGTGAATAACTTTGAGTTTAGAAACACTGATAACTTGTAAGCGAGAATATCTTTGGGGTTCCTTATTTTCAGATAGTAAGAGTAAGCAAGGAAGTGGTAGGTGAGTGGGTGGGGGGAGTTCTTTGCTTCTAGAATATTATACCACAGTTAGAGCTGCTGGCCAAGGAGGATTAACAGGCATACCTGAAGAGGGGTGTGTGAGTGTGTGTGTGTGTGTGTGTGTGTGTGTGTGTGTGTGTGTGGAGGAGGGAATTTTTTTACAATTTTAAGTTTAAACTTTGAGATTTCTTACGAATTTTGCAGTTTATTTTGTAATAGACTGATGTTTGTTATAGAATACAAAAAATTTTAAATTCACACTTAAACTGTTGGGTAAAATTAACACCTTTCCAACATTCTTCATGCAACCTGAGACTTGGGAGTATCCCTGGCACCTCCCTTTCTGCCTCCCTTTCTGCCTCCCTGCAGGTGGCTGAGTCTGAGAGGCAAAGGGTCTGGTAGGTAAGAAAGAGCTTAGATTTTAGAGTCATACAAATTAGGGTTCTCTTTGGGTTCATTTTCTTGTGTGTAAAATAGGGTTTATTATGGCTGCCTCATAGGATTTTGTGAAGATTTAAAACATATGGACCCAGTACATAGGAAACATTCAATGAATTGTAGTGTCTATCGTTAATATTACTAATACTAATACTATGCCCTAGTGATCTTTCTTCACTAGAAGAGATTTCTAGTAATGTTCAGTTTTACAAAGTAGCTGAGATGGTAGTTTCAGAATTGCCTATAAATGGCCACTTTAATCAGCCATATTCTTCTACTGAGGGAATTGTCCTTTGGGCTTGGTAGGCCTTTTTGGAGGTACATTAACTCATCCCCCTAGAGTGTAATTTAGTATATTGAGAAGTGCATCTTGTGGTCCCTTGAGGCCACCAGGAATCAATGCACATCTCAGAGTGCTTGACATGCCCCCAGTGAATGAGACCTCCTATGCATAGAGTGGATTGAACTAGTGGCTGGCTGTAGGTTTTTGTTTGGTTTCATTTTTAATACAGTTTAACATTTATTGAAAACCTGTTATGTGCTAGGTAACTATTCTCAGGTACTTCTAAGGACTTCATTTCATTCCGTTTTTTTCCAACAGTTTTATTAGATAGGTCATCATCTGGTTTTCCAGAGTTAAAGCAATGATAAATGATAGGCCCTCAATCACACAGGATCCTGGTTGGATGGCTGCATCTTTTAAACACCTAAACTTTACCAATTTACACCGTAGGAGTAGGTTAATCACTGGAAACACTACATTTATTCTCTGATGATGATAAATAGCAATAATAACTGTAACCTTTTTCTGATTTATGGTAACATGTGAAAGAGGAGCCAGGACAGGTTGTTTTCCCATTTTATGAATGAAAAGATAAGGCCTTGCCATGTAAGTAACGACGGAGCCAGGACCCAGAACTCAGGTTTTTTTGACCCTTGTTTGTTGTAGTGTGTCAGTTTTCTTAGTTTTTAAAAACATTATTATTGTGCTGTAGGAAAATGAGGAGAGTGAAGATTATGTTACTCAGGAACCATTGTATGATCATGATAGTTCTCAGCTTGGAATCTGGCTTATTATATGTGTAATGGGCCCCACAACTTCCCTCCTTAAATAAATAATCATAACTTTCTTTTTACAGACAAAACCAAACCAGCGAGGAGAGAATATGTGTAGTTTGATGCTTTTTTCCCCTGAGGAAAAGGAGCCTATAATTCTAGTATATTAAATGAGTGGTTTAGATGTGGAAGTAATCTTCACAGGTACAAGATCAGCCCCTCCAAAAGTCCGTTTGTAATGGTGACTAAGTGAAGAAACCAATCTTTTGCATTACTGAACAAGTTTTTCTTCTGTTTTCCTCTCATAGGAAGAAAGCCTGAGACCTCAACCTATGAAGACGGTGAAGACAATTCTGAATAGCAGTAGTGACTGGTGTTGCTGTCAGGCTTGTTCTGCAGAGCATCTGAAATGAACCTCTCTTGTTGATTGATTGTTTTCATTGGCCCAGAGCCAGGAGTACTGGATTCAGTTGACTTCGTAAATGTATGAACCAGTGTGATGGTGAAATGAGATGAGGCTCCGAAATGGAACTGTAGCCACGGTTTTAGCATTTATCACTTCGTTCCTTACTTTATCTTGGTATACTACCTGGCAAAATGGGAAAGGTAAGGAAACTATCTCTAAAAATGTGCATCAGATATACTAGGCTTTATGCTTTGTTAATGGCGCATAAATGCTTAGATTAAATACTCCAACAGTCTGCATCTTGCATGCTATCTGCTGGTGGCCTGGCAGTTTCTTTCTGACATAAAAATGAAACAGCATTCTTGAACAGAGGAGACAAAGACTTTCTAATTTGAATGGGGTGTGTTTTGTTTTTGGTTTCTTATAATTGCACTTGGAGAAACAGATATTGATCAGTGGTTTATGTTATACATGACAGCCAAGTTGTATAATAAAGACTTTTGTTTTGGAACTTTATTTTTATTATTAAACATCATAAATGTTTAATAAGCATCCTTGTACTGAATGTTGTATAAAACACCTAAAATAACACAATCAGCAACTTCATGAAATTTACATGCTGATTATACTAATGATTTGGTGCTGTGTAGTTAGTGATTTAAACTGCATGTGTTGACAGATTGCTCCTTAGACAAAAGTATTTATGAAGTAGATGAGAAATTCTAATTAAAGAACTTAAAAAAATTTTAAAAATTGTGTTAGACTGTTGAACTGTGTTTTAAAGGAAGGTTATCTGTTCAGTGATTGGAACTATAGTCAGGGATAATGCATTTTTTTGGCTTTTTTTTAAAAGAGAAAGTATTTGGAGTTTTTACCTGTTTTTCACCCATACTTTTTACCTGTCTCCTTTCCTTATAATAATCTAAGGAGGTTGCTGGCAAGAAGGATGGGGTGTTGGGATGAATGCATATTTGGTCTGTTAGAGTCTCGTTAGAGGAGTCATATCCTGGTTATTTGCCGATGCTATTGCTGGCAGCATTTTATTGACTTGTACAGAGATAACTGAAAAGATGGATTCATGACTTAATTTTTTTCTACTGTGTGTATAAATATGCATATTTAGATATTTATATATCTCTGAGTATATGTATATGTGTAAAATAAGCTAGTATAATTGAAAAACATATGCTCTGTGCTTGAGCAAGTATGGTATTCTTTTTCTCTTTTTTTCCCCTGTGAGTTGGGTTCTAATTTTGGGGAGAGCTCTTTAGGGGAAAATGAATGAGAAGCTTGAATACCTTTCTTCTTTGTGAACAAATTTGTGCATTTTAGCTTTTATTTTTTAATTGTACCAAAGGAAGAAGATTTATGTAGGGAGAACTTTGAATAGTTAACTTAATCAAGCTGTTGATTGTCCCTGATATGAACAAAAATGACGACTGGCCTTAAAAGTCTGTTATGCAATAAGGGAATTAACCATAAGAAGGGTATATGGATTTTTTTTTTTTTTTTAATCAGGAAACTTACCTATTCAGAGAATTATAGTAATAGAGAAACTTGACCTTTCTTCTCACTTTGTCTTAGTTAAGGGATTAAAAGTTTTGGAATCTCTGTTCCATTGATTTTGTTTCTTATATAAAGGCTTTTGTTTCTTATATTATAGGCTTTTTTTGTATTAAGCTGTCTTTAGACTCAAAATTAATTTTAAAAATACAAGATTTTTTCACCATATGGTTTAAATACACACACAAAAAGTCTCTTCTCTTTGATGATCACTCCTTGAACAGTTCTGTAATTCTTCCATGCATACTCTTCTGCTCTGTATTGTTGCTTAGTGTTTTGTCCAGATTCATTCAGGTATCAACAGAGACCTGTTCTAGTTATATAAAATCCCTTGTGTTTTAATGCTATCGTTTATGTAATCACCGTAACTGCTGAGCATTTGTGTTCTTTCTAGATTGTTCTGACAGACAACTTGGATTTTCCAGAGCAGGCCTGGAAATATACCCATTAACCATGTGCTCTGATTTTTATATTGAAAGCATAGTTTCCTTACTCGTTAATGTTGCTGGACTAATAGTTTTTATTTTTCATTCATTCATTGGTCTCTTTTATGTACCTGTCCTATGCCTAGCACTGTATTATGTGTTATGAATACGAGAAGGAATAAGAAACTTCACACCTTAGAGAAGCTAGGGGACTGGTAGAGGAAGATGCCTGTAAACAAATATGTTATCATTAGATTGATTGAGATAGAAGCAATAACAGTGCTGGGCTTGTACTGTTACATGCATATTACATGTTGTATATTCTCTCATTTAACCCTCATAACAACCCTGGGAAGTATTATTACCTCCTTTCTGTAGGTGAGAAAACCAACACAGAGTGGTTGAGAAGCTTGCCACAGTCATACATTAAGTGGTAGAGTGAAGCTTGAACTCAGGCCTGCTGATTCCAGAAATTATGCTCTTAGCTACCGTTCTGTTGACCAAAAGAGCAGAGATAGAGGCTATCCTAATTTTTGATACACGTCACAGAGGAAGAGTAAATGTGAAGGCGATTCCAGGTAGGGGAGGGACAGTGGGCATGTCACGTAGAGGGAGCTGCATGTGCAGCCACGCAGTTCTGAAAGGGTGCAGAGTATTTTGTGCTTTGGAATTGTGAGATGCTTATTGTGATTGGCACATAGGATTCCTAGACTGTCTCAAGGTTTAGGAGTATATCTAGTTTGTCATGGGTCTTCATTTACCGTTTGGAAGAGTACATGAGTTGGTCCATTGGATTGGTATAAATTTGGGAGGATGTTAGGAACCCAGCCAGGGAAGCTGGAATTTTGACCAGGGTACGAGTTCCAGGGTATACAGGATTTCCATATAAAAATGAGCAGAATTCTAAGTATTTGGCATGGACAGGTTGAGAAAGTTAAAAACATGTGAAAGTGGGACAGGAGTAATTACATGTCTGTCTTGCTGGTGTGGTAGGGCCCCTAATGTACCTCCTCCTCTGGTCAGGCACAATCCACAAACTGGGCAAGACAGCAAACAGTTTAGATCCCTGTCCATGGGGACTGTAACATTCATGTATATGTTTCTGTGCGGACATACGCTTTCATTTTTCTTGGGTATTTTTACCTAGGAGTGAATTGCTTGGTCATATCATTAACTGCGTTTAATCATTTGAGGAGCTGCTGGATCATTATGCATTTCTTCCAGCAGGGCATGAGAGTTTCGACTAATTCTTTACATTCTTGACAATACTTGTTATCTGGCCTTTTGATTCTACTATCCCAGTGGTTGTGAAGTAGGATTTCATTGTGGTTTTGATTTACCTGATGACTAATGATGTCTAGCATCTTTTTATGTACTTATTAGCCATTTGTATAACTTCCTTGGAAGAATGTCTATTCAGATCCTGTGCCTGTTTTAAAAAATGGGTTGCCCTTTTATTAAGTTGTAAGAGTTCTTTATATATTCTAGATACAAGTTCCTTATCAGATACATGATTTGCAAATATTTTGTCCCCTTCAGTGGGTTTTCTTTTCACATTCTTGATGGTATACTATGATGCACAAGATATTTTAGTTTTGATGATGTCCAGTCTATTTTTTTGTTGTTGTTGCTTGTGCTTTTGGTGTCATATCTAAGAATCCATTGCCAAGTCCCAAGATCATGAAGATTCTCCTATGTTTTTTCTAAGGTTTTTATAGTTTTTGCTCTTATGTTTAAGTCTTTGATCCATTTTAAGTTAATTTTTGTATGTGGTGGGAAGTCAAAGTCTAGCTTCATTCTTTTGCACGTGGCTCTCCAGTTGTCCTAGTACCATTTGTTGAAAAGACTATTTTCCCCCTTGAATGGTCTTAGCATCTTGTTGAAAATCAGTTGATCATAGATTATGGATTTATTTTTTGACTCTTGATTCTGTTTCATTGATCTTCCTTGTGCTAATATCACACTTTTATTTTTTATTGAGGGTAAAATTGGTATATAACATTATATAAGTTTAGGTGTACCTCATTATAATTTTATATTTGTATACACTCTAAAGTGATTACCACAGTAAGTCTAGTTACTATCCACCACCATACAATTGATCCCCTTCACCAGTTTTGCCCACTCTTCAAGCCCCTTTCCCTCTGATAACAACCATCCTGTTCTTTGTATCTATCTATGAGTTTTTTTGTTCTGTTTGTCTTGTTTTTTAGATTCCACATATAAGTGAAATCATATGGTATTTGTCTTTTTCTGTCTGACTTATTTCACTTAGCACAATACCCTCAAGGTTCACTCATGTTGTCACAAATGTCAAGATTTCTTTCTTTTTATAGTTGTGTAGTATTCCATTTATATGTACCATATCTTCTTTATCGATTCATCATCAATGGACACATAGGTAGTTTTCATATTGGCTGTTTGTAAATACTGCTGCAGTGAACATTGAGGTACATACAGTAGACACCCTTACTGTGGGAGATATGTTCCAAGACCTGCAATGGATGCTAGAGACTGCGGATAGTACTAAATCCTATATATATAAGGTTTTTTCTATGCATACATACCTATGATAAAGTTTAATGTATAAATTAGGCATATTAGGAGATTAACAACACAATAATAAAATAGAACAATTATAACAGTATACTCTGTCAAAAGTTATGTGAATGTGGTCTCTCAAAGTATCTTATTGTACTGTATTCACCCTTCTTTTTCTTGTGATAATGTAAGATGATAAAATGCCTACCTAATGAGATGAAGTGAGGTGAATGACACAGGCATTGTGATGTAGTGTTAGGCTACTTTTGACCTTCTCACAATGTATCAGAAGGAGGATCATTTACTTACAGTAAATGGTTGGGTGTCACTTATTTTAGGGAGTTCCTTGCTGAAGTCTGTATAGACTCAGTGCTTTCTGGTGCAACGCTTTGCCATCAATCAGAACATATTTTCTGTTCATGTCTTCCACCCACAAATTTAATGTCTTTTTCATCTTAACTAAGCTGTTATCACACACGGTGGCCATAACTTTTGCAGTTTGAGGTGCGACAACAAAATTAGCATGAATTTCTTTTTCCTTCTCTACAATTTTACTGTAGCTCCTAGGAGCCTCCTCATATGATATCTTTTCTTTCCATATTAAATTGAGAACTGTAACCTTTTCACTTAAAGGAAGCACTTTAGGCTTCTGTTTGGCATATCTAAATTGC